TTGTTTCTTGATCCATAGTCTTGATTTTTGAATTCCATTTTCTTGATTATTGATTGTGGGTATTTAATCTTCCACTTCAATAAGCTTTCTCTGATATTCTTGTATTGATGGGATAACACAAAGAATGAGAAATTACATATGAATTGGGGATCACAACTATATATATATATATATATATATATGTCTCTACACATATAATCCGGTTCACACTTTATTTATATATCCTAAGCCAAATTAATTAATTCTTTATTAGACCACTTTAATTTTGAACTTAACTTTATACACAATTAATTACATATATCGATCCACATGACATATTAAATAATTTCCCGACATACTGCTCACAGGTTTCTCTACATATCTAGTTTCAACCTTGATTCAGCTAAGAATTACTGGGTTGTGCTAATAAAATATACTTCGGACTTCTACATTTGCAACCAAATAAGATTGATCAAATTTCGAATTTTGCAAGTTACGAAATGTCCAGTAAGATTGAACATCTATTGGCATCTAAATTCGATTTATTATTATTTTTTTTAATCTGAGTGAATTACTTACACAAATAGCACGTCAAAAACACAAATTTTACCTCAAAATGACATTATATACGGTACAACTACGAATTGCAATAATGAATTTAAGTGAATCAAACTCGACATTTACACTTCAAAATGTGAATTTCGCCGACACCTTTTAAAATTTTAATATATGTTTGTATATCTTCTTTTCAAACAAATATTTTTCAATAAAATAATATTACATGTAAATAAAAAAAATTCCTTCTTCTTTAATCGCACATTCTTTCAAAAAGTATTATTTTATAATACATTTTATCAAAATTTCTCTTTAAAATGGATGTCAAACATGCACTTAAGAAACATAATACAAAATTTTACAATTACGTCAAATTAGACATTTATGCAACATTGATTTCTAAAATTCAAAACATCGAAATTTAGAAATTTCTAGTGTAGCTTTACAACATCAAAATTTCTATAGTTAGAGTCTTGTATTGCTCCGGGTGAATAGTGATGGCAACGGGGCGGGTTCGGGCCCCGCCCCACCTTAGACGGGGCAGGGACGGGTCGTGGCGCAAGACGGGGCAACTTTTTGTCCCATTTAATTTTTTTTTTTTAATTTTTTTTATATTTTCAAAGTTTCGAGTGATGTTATCATTAGAGAAAAAATACAAATTCAAAATGGATTTTTAACGGGTGAATTATCTAGAAATAAAATTATTTTTAATCTTTTTTTCCCCCTTCACCGGGCAGGTTCGGGGTAGCCCCGCCCCACAACGGGGTGCCCCCGACCCGTTTCGGGGCAGGGCAGATTTTATTGACATCCCTACGGGTGAACCCAAATAAAAAATAAAATTTTGTGATTTATTGACCAACTAGTGACATTGAAGATTTTGAGGTTGCTTCTCTGTTCGTAAAGCTCGATTGCTTAAATAGGGGCTATTGGGTATGGACTTGGTGATAGTTATGACAAATGACTGCCATGGTTGTGATGAAGCATGCCATTACTAATGATGAAGCTATTCTTATTCAGTGAAGAGGTGTGCTAGTTGGAGACACCCGGCCAATAGGGGACGTCACATCGCCCCTTGTTTGGACAACTCCTGTTCAAATAGAAAAGTTCATTAAGTATCAATTTGTTTCAAATTATTTCCTCATTAAAATGAAAAATATGATCGTTATTCATCATATTAAGTCATCAAATTTGAATTTTTATCTGTTGTATGGGGTTCGTAACGACTATGTTTTTCATTCTCATTCTTCCAAAAATGAGAAACAAACGGAGCGTAAGTGAATGTCGATGAAATGACGTTTGAAATAGAAAATAATTTTGGACTTCGAATAGTAATTTGCATATTAAAAATGCCTACTGTAATTTTAGCCAACTTTTAAGGCATAGAATCCATTTCTTGAAAAAAAAAAAAAAAAAATGACGATGGCTGCAAAATTTACAAATTTTGGCCATAATTCAAAATGGGGGTGACAAAAGAGGATATTTCATCCAATTTCCTCGTCCTTAGTCTAAGTGTGGGTTAAGAAAAATCTTTAGTTTATTGGAGTTGCTGTCCCTGACAAATCACAGAACAAATTTATCATGCTAGTTTGATTGGAGTAAGATCCCACTCGACAATCAACATGAATGATTGGACAGACCGACAGACCCACAAAGTACAAATTGAGTAGAACTGACTCCAGGCTCTCCACATGAAGACTTTGAAAATTTACATAATTTTACATCAAATTTTGTACCAAATTAAAATTTATTTCCAATCATTACACCAAATAATAATCTATTGTATTAAAAAATATATAGCACAAATGACACAAATATCCTTAATCAATTTATTTGGGAAAGAAAATAAAGGGTAAAAATGACTTTGGACCATTTGCACCAAAACCGTGCAAAATTTGGTATTGCATTGAAGTAGTTTTGCACTAATTTTTGGTGCAATTTGATGTTTTGGTACCACTATTGGAGATGGGATAATATGTACCCTATGCTACCCTTGAAATTAAATGCTAAAATAAATTATATCTTCAATATGTTCCTTAATGAGCATGCCTGTATATATTTTGACGTTTGAAACTTGATACAGGCACAAATTTATAAGTAGGTGACAATTCAAGATGAATGACCTATGCTTATTATGATATTCTATCGAACTATTTCTTAGAAGTGTTAAACGTAGACAAACTTTATTCATTAAAATTATGTTTTTAACCCAAATAAGTGAATAACTCTTCATATATTTTAATATGAGTTGGGACTTAAACAAAAGAATAATACTATGGTCCTATTTGAGTCGCATTCTTTCAAAAAATACATTTTTATACAGTGATTTGATATCATTTTAACCACATATTTTTTAATAAAATAATATTATACTTAAATTCAAAACTTTTCCTTATTTTTTAACCACACATTCTTATCACTCAACTATTTTAAAATATATTCTTTCAAAATAATATGGCTCAAACACACTATATTTCAAATTTTCTCTTGCGTCCTCTTCAAAGTTTTTTTTTTCTTTTTTTTTTTTAAAGGAATAGAGAGAAAAATTATCAAGTAATAAATAATGGTGGCCTTGTTCCCCAATAATTTAATTGAAGTGGGGGCAAATGCAATTAAATAAAGTTATCCATAGAGAGTAATCACGAGTCCTCAAAAACACTTGGTTGCCTAGTCATGCCTATCCATTCACTTTCTGCTAGCTGGATTCCTCTCTCTCCCTCACGTGTCACTTTCCAAACCCTACCCCTGCCCCAATTCCCACCCTGCGCCACCACAATTGACCTTTTAGAATTGCCGGAGATACAAAAGCCCGGCGGTAGATTCTGCAACTCCTTTTTTTTTTTTCCCCATTTTTTTTCTTTCTCGGAATTAGATGAATTAAGACAGAATTAATGTTGTCTTGTTTTGATGTGCAGATTTTTCGGTTTTATCTTCGTACCAGTACAAAGCTATACAATTAACCCTGAGGATTCTTCTTAGATCTGAGGAGAGGGGTGTTTTTGGCTTTATATTGATAATAATCCTCGTCCTCAATTCCACTTGGACTCCTCAAGTTCCACCTCACTAACTCTTCAGACCAGGTCAGTTTTCTTTCTCTTTCTCTCTCTTCATTTTTCTCTCTCTACTGTTTTACCCTTTTTACTATATATATTCGTATGCGCATAGAGCCACAGAGACGGAACCCTCCTCGGAGACAAATGGATTATTACTTTATCCTAATTTTTAAGAATTGAAGTGGATCTTCCAATGTTATACGTCTGATTTAAATTAGGGAGAACAGTTTTTTTTATATTTTGTTAATTCAAATGTTTCATTATGTAAAAGAATGTAGAAAAGCATATAATTAGCAGGTAAGTTACCGATAAACACCATGTGCAGCGTGTTAATAGACCATAGATGGAAGAAAGTGGGAAAACAATCAATGCAATTTGTGAGATCTTTTTCCTCTTTCGTATGAAGAAAATTGGATTTAACGATAGTTTTTTCAGATGGAATTTGGGTTCAGGTAAGGGCATTCTGCCACCTAAATTACTTGAACTTGGCTGAGATTATTTTAGTTGTAATAAATTAAAGTTACTTTTGGAAAAATAGTTGGTAAAAAAAGCTGTCATCAAAATTGTGATAATTCTCAATAGATGTATTCCATGACCTTTAATTTCTTCGTTAGTTGGCTATTATATCATCGTATCATTTTCACTGGAATAATTCAAGAGGAACTCGGCATCCATCTCAATTTTGTAGGAAATGAATTTACTCAATCTATTGATGAACTTATTTTATTATCGATAAATTAATAACCCTTCTAAAATAATAATTTTTCTTGGTCCCACCATTATTATTTTACCGAGATTTTGATGTATACATATTTCATACATAAAAGTCTGAGACTAAGGTAGAATGGAAAATTGTCAATTTTAGTTAGTAATATTTTTATAGTTTAGGATGAATGGCAAGTTCGCTATATTGATCCAGACTAATTATTTAGGAGAAGATTGCTTCTCTCTCAATCTATATTCTACATATTGCACGGTAAACTTCACTTTTGATTTACATTCATTTTATATTGCCAGTTGCATTTTCACCTATATTTTTTTAATTTTCTGGGATTGCGAAAGTATTGATATATGCTATCTAGTTAGTCTGTCCTATCCTAGTCGACAACCAAGTTATTTTAGTTTTCTTAAATGAAATGTGTCGTTCAGTACACTCTTTTACCCTACTTTTCCTGCTGGCCCCTTCCCCAATTTCCCCTCATAGAAGAAAGTTGGGGCTGTGGGGGACTTTGATTTGTTTGAGTTACAACTGTAGCATTTGGCATTTCAAATCTTTAACTGCACCGTGCATTCCTGCCTATCATTGACAATCATAAATTATTGCTCATGACATCAAGAATCAAGGCTTCTTCCTTTGTGGCTCTTCCACGTCTTACATTGACTACGAAAACACTTGCTAGCACTCATAAGGGATAGAGAGGATATAAGTATGTTACCCTACCTTGTTTACCAGAGGCATGAAGCATTTTGGAATGGAAATAGTAATTACTCAGATGGGTAGAAAACTAAGGAGTTATTATGAGATCTTCAGAAAAATAAAAAGAGAAGAGTAGTGGAAAGAATGAATTCAAAAAGTCTATGCGAGACTGAACCTAGATTGCCAATAGGTGTGAGAGTTCATTGATAATAAATGAAGCAAGTTACAAACAAACTGAGAAAGGATATTACAGGCAGGAGTGGAGAGAAATAGTTCCTCTATTGAATTGCTGCACAACTGTTGATTTCAATATTAAATGAGTTTTGCAGTAACTGTTGGTCACGTGGATGGAGATCTTATCCAGGCTTTATGCCATTAGATACTCGTTAATGCTTCTGGACTGATATGTCGTAATACAATTGTGAGAGACATCTTGGATCAGTTGAGCAGTTGCCAAGGCACTAATATAGATAATTTGTGAGAGACATCTTGGATCAGTTGGGCATTTGCCAAGGCACAAATATAGATAATAAAGAAGTGACCTTTTTTATTCATTTTACAGTAGATCTTGTACTCATTGAAAATACAATGAATTTCTCTGGTTTGATGTCAATCAGGTGCCTATCTTTTAATTGAGAATAGAAGATCTTATACTGAACAATTAAAGTGAGGGTAGACAATTGAGTCTACAATCTTCTGCTCTAATGGGCACTGGACATGAGGGTAGCCCTGCAAAGTCTTCCACCCCTGCTACTACTACTCAGGTTCTCTCTTTTATTATTTTGTATATCTTTGCATCTCGAGGGCAATTACGGTTATATAGTCCTTTATCATTTTTATGTGTTGGCTATTCCTCGAACTAAATGCAAGTCATCTGTTTTTATTTCCTTTTCTTTTCAATTGAATTTTCAGGAAGCACCAACTACACCTGCATATCCTGATTGGTCAAGCACTATGCAGGTTTCTGATGAAAGCTTTGGTCTTCATTTTTCTTTGATAATTATGTTTATATTATAATTTTTGTGTTGGCTTACTTGACACCCTTTCCTATTCCAGGCTTTCTATGGTGCTGGAGCTACTCCACCTTTCTTTGCTTCAACAATTACCTCCCCTACACCCCATCCCTACATGTGGGGAGGCCAGGTCATTATTCTATAATTTTGATTTCTAGACCTACCCCTTTAGGACCTTTAGAGCATATAGAACACCTTACCATAATATTGCTCAATTGCATTTCAGCATCCTCTGATGCCACCTTATGGGACTCCAGTTCCATATCCAGCTATATATGCTCCTGGGGGAGTCTATGCTCATCCCAATATGGCCACGGTAATTGAGATGCACAAAGTTTTAGTAATTAGTTGTTGGTGTCATTTTGTAAACTAAAGTTGAATACTGTAGTTTTTATGCTATTCTGTCAACTATTTGAGCACGATATCCTTACGGTCTTTTAATCAAGCACCGTTTCAGTAGATGTGGAAGCTCCAATTATATCGGTCTTTTATGCTTTCTTTACAGACTCCAACCACAATACTCGGAACTGCAGAAGCAGATGGAAAAACAACAGAGGCGAAGAACCGTGTTTCAAGCAAAAAATCCAAGGGTACTTCAGGAAACCATGGAAAGACTGGAGATGGTGGGAAATCTGCTTCAGGCTCTGGAAATGATGTTGCAACACAAAGGTGCTTTTGGACAGATTTACTGCTAGATATATTATCTTACTCATCACAAACTTTGTCTGTTACCCTTTGGGCACGTTTGGTGCACCATATAGGATTAAGGGGATAGGATTAGGAGGGAGAGGATTAAGGTGGATCAGAGTGGATTATTCTAATACCGATGTTTGATTTTACATCGTATTAGAAAAACTTACCAGTATTATAACTAAAAACACAAAAATTATTAAAAAAATTTACTTAAAAATAAATTTTCTTACTTATACGTAAATTTTCTTATGAGTATTTTGTTACTTATAAGTGAATTATTACTTATAATTATTATAATTTTAAGTAAACTTCTTACAAGTTTATTATTCCTTATAAGTGATTTTTACTTAAAAGTTATATAGTAACTTACAAATAATTTTTTTTTTACTTATGAGTAATTCTTTGTACCTGCAGACGATTTGACCAACCCTGCTCCTGCTACGACATTTGCACATTTAGATGCTAGGAAACTCAATGGAATTCATAACTTTTTCAATCTTTATTTTTCCCTTTTCTTTTTATTGTCTGAATATTCAGGAGCTAAGACCACTTAAAAGTGAAATGTTTAGTTCTTATTTTCATTTTTTTCCTTAATCATAAAACGGTGAAACAGTCTTCAGGAACCTAACTATCTTTCCTAAAAGCCGAGGCTTGGGGGTGATTGAATCCCACAACTATTAGACTCTAATAATACCCCACGGCCCCAAATTCAACATTCATGGCGGCCTACTCCAAGTCGACTTGAGCTTTTGAGAGAGATGGTTGGGTCTCAGCAATTAGTATCAGAGCAGATTCACGTCACAGGTTCAAATTCTGGAAAGGGCGACCCAAGCCAAGTGTTGAATACTAGCAGCTATGGAAGGGTCTGTCGGGCAAAGGGAAGGTCGTCTTGGAGTGGGCCGTGGGGTATTGTTAGGGTCTAATAGTTGTGGAATTCAATCACCCTCAAGCCTGAACTTTTCGGAGAGATGGTTGGGTTCCCATTAAGAAGTTATACAGTCATAGGTATAAACCCTCCTCAAATAGCGTATTACTTTGGTTGACTTCTAGTTATTAATTGTACCAAACACTGGATAAGGATTAAATGAATCCTTATCCAGTCTAATACAATGCGCCAAATGTGCCATTAATATGTATTAAATGTATACTGTTAGATTTAGTGGCAATTTAGTGCTTGTTTGTGCCCCATTATTTGTGAATAATGTTTTATGAAATAGTGATTGATGTTGAAATGTGTAGTTAAAAAAGAAGGAAAAGTTTTTGATTTACATATAATATTATTTTAATGAAGAATGTGTGGTTGAAAATGAGTACTGTAGAAAAAATAATGTGATAGAAACAAAGCCTTAGTGTCTTATTCATTGTAGATTTACTCTTTTCCATATTCTTGTGATTTGTTGATTATCATAATGTATGATTGTAAAGATTTGCTCATGAACAGCGCTGATAGTGGAAGTGAAGGTTCATCAGATGCAAGTGATGAGAATGATAACCAGGTATGTATCTCTGGTTTAGTTGATAAAATCTTACTTCACTCCAGTGTTCCAAGAGTCTGACAAATCCCTGAAACTTGATTCTGGGACCTATGGTAGCAAATAGCTGACTCTTACATTGACGTGGCTCAGTCAAGAAAGAGCAAATATGATATGCCACATTTCATACTAAAAGCCAATCTGATTTGATATTTTAGGAATATTCTGCAACCAAGAAAGGAAGTTTTGACCTGATGCTTGCTGATGGTAAAAATTTTTGCTTGTCCACCTTGTCCTGGTTCCTTGTGTTGTTCTCAGTCTGACCAGTCTGTTAATTCATCAGGAGCACATTCACAGAACTCTGGTCTGGCTAACTTCCAGAATTCAGTACCAGGGAATCCTGTAGTTTCTATGCCTGCAACTAATCTGAATATTGGCATGGACTTATGGAATGCATCGTCTGGTGGTTCTGGGGCTATGAATTTGCGACCCAGTCAGCCTGGTGTTTCGCCAACTGTTGCTCCATCTCAATCTGGCATGATGAATGATCATTGGATTCCAGTATGTTAACTCACCTTTTAATGTTTCCATATCATAAAGGATTACTTTTTGTTTAATTTTTTTTGTGGTGTGCCTGTTGAGCGAACTGTATTTTGATTCAGTGGAGAAATTTGATAACCTTATTTGATTCTACTTGGTTAATTCTGAAGCTGTAACCCACTGTTTCCATTACCAACAGATTGTACGAGTTAATAAATTTGTTCCTTAAAATAACTGCCTGAGTTTTTCTAGGCGGTGTGTTGGAATTTGGCTTCTCTCTTCGAAGTAATGATTTTGTTCCACTAGATATCCATGTCAGTTGTCAATTTTCTTCCAAAGTTATGATAAATAACAATCATGGAGTTCTCTAATTTCCACTTTTAGGCATTTCGAGGACCAAAAGTTGGACTACCATTTATTACTCCCACCCAAAAAATACGGAAGAAAAAGGGGGGAAAATAACGAGGATTACCAAGAAACAAATGTGTTTGGCAAAATATGCATACCAGATCTCAAGTAGATTTTGAACTTCAATTTACAGGATGAACGAGAACTGAAAAGACAAAAGAGAAAGCAATCTAATCGGGAGTCTGCTCGGAGATCAAGATTACGGAAGCAGGTTTGCCTTGCTTTCCAGTTTTCAATTTTACTTTGATGTTTCCTCAATAAAATCTTCTGTTATGGTGTGTTAATATATGCATGTGCTCCCTACTTCCCCCAAGTACTGTTACTTGTGAGTTGAGTTTAGAACAGAAGGAATGGTTTGGAATAGTAAAGTATAATTAGCTAATCATCTGTTATCTCAATTAAGAATCTTTTTTCTATTGTTAATTCTACTTAGACAATGAATAAAAAATAAACTTGAAGCAAAAATTCTTGTTTTCATTCATAATATTTGGCTGACCCCCAAGTTCAGGGCATGCTATTATTTAATGTAATATTAGTACATGCTTTATTAGATTGCATGATATTTGGCTGAACCTAGTCTACTGGAGGCAAGGTTTAGCCGTTTCTTGTTTTGTGTTAGAGATGGCACAATATTGAAATTACTTCCTAATTTCTAATATTGCTGGAAATTGTAGTGGCCATAGGATCAGACTAGTTCCCGTGGGTCGCCTACCATCTCTTGGTTACCATTGTAGGCTTGTAGCTAAAGTTTTACTTTTAAAAGTAGACTTGAGACATGCCCTTGAGCTTTCTTGGACATCTTCATCCTCGTAAAGTGCCTGACTGTGATACTAGTATCTGCCTTCATGCTTCAAAATTCACAGCCTTGACATCTTTCTCTTGAATTAATCTGATTGTTATCTTTTTATGTAATTCTTTAGCCACCCCCCCCACCTACCAAAATAATAATAATAATAATAAATAGATAAATAAATAATTGTTCTTTTATATTATCATTCTTGATTCTTGAGGGGAAATCGCATTTGAAAAAACTGCTGGTTGATCATTATGGATTAAATAAACATTTATGCAGAAGTTTGGAAATGTGCTCTTTAAGCGGTCTTTCACTTTTGATCTAATGCCCTTATCACAATGCACACACAAGAAATAGAGTCTAATCACTTAGATTTTGTTGCTGATACAGGAAGAATTAACAAGGGTGTGTGGGCCCGAGGCGGTATCTAAACTGGAGAACAGCAACTCGGTTAATCATATTCAGTCTCGTGGCGATGAAGGTAACTGTTAGAGCAGGATGCTGAGAGTAGATTATGCTGTTTACAGCCCGGAGAGTTTCTTGACTTAAAGCTCAATCAAGTAAAGGATGTATTTTTGCTATAGACTTGAGAAAGTTTCTCGTTGTCTACTTATCTACTTATTAGCTGTAACATCAATCTGTGTTCGTCCAGTGTCGTTAAATATCAAAAATTTTACTGTTATTAAAGCAATTAGTCGAGATCGTGAGCTTGTTTAGCATGGAGTTAGCAGTTGGAATGTCTAATTAAACAACAATTTTGTCCAAAGTATGAATTCAAGAAACATAAAATGAAAAACTAATCAGAGTGACTGTTGAAGCGAACTTCACGAGTTGGGATGCATTCGAATTTCTTTTTCATTATACTCTAATCGATATGGACGAGAACATTCAGGCACTTGCTAGGAAAACTACCATTTTTTATTTCTCTTGTAATGATCTGGAATTTCTTCTTTTACCATATAAATTACACAAAAACATAAAGCGGCCAGGATTAATATACCCATTTCTAACCTAATTCAATTACTTCAAACAAGCATTTTTAGGAGGATTATTGCAGCTAATTATCGTAGTACTTATTTCCTAATACCTCCAAGCTGATGTGGCAACAAGTGGCCTATTGCGCCAGCAAAGCAGCATCTCCTCCTGCCGTTTTGCCACGTGGAATCCCCTGACTTTTGCTCCCCTTAGTAAACACTCAGCTTGAAAGTCAGCAAACTGGCTCAGCCCCACCTGCCTCAGTCCTGCTGCCACAAGCGCCTCCCTCCACGGCTTTCTGCCGCAGCCGGCCGCCTCCATAATCTTAGGTAGAAACACATAAGTCTCGATCTTTCTTATCCAATCGTCACCTCCACCACCACCACTGACATTTGCAGCCTCCAGTGACTCAAATAAAGTGGAATAAAAATCTAGACCATCGATCACAGCCTGGTGATACGACGGTGCTTCAAATCCCACCTGCACTTCATTCTCCACGTGCACCACCACAAGTGGTGAAATTCTGCGGAGATCATTGAGAAACCCTGTCCCGACATGCTGGAATATTGCTGGAGATAAAAGAACCGCAACATTTTCCCCATCCATCAATTTGATGGCCTCGAAAGATGAAGACTCAAAGTTACTTATCGGAACAAAGTCTATATCGACCCTAATATTCAGCTCACGTGCAAACTGAGACAAATTCTCTCTGATCAGCCTTGCTTCCGTTGCATACTCTTCAGGAACTATAGCTGTAATTCGAAGCAGGGCTGGGATGGCTTTACCCGACCCAGCTTTATCAGCTAGCTCTTTCAAGAACGAAGCCCATTGGTTGCCAAGCCCGATATCAAAGTCAATGATGTGGACATGAGTGCAGCCCTCTAAGGCTTCAAGCACCGCTTGGTTAGCCGTACAGCTTGAGAACATGGGAATTGGGGAGATGACAGAGAACATTTTCTGTGCTTTGATGGTAGCTGTAATTCGAAGCAGGGCTGGGATGGCTTTACCCGACCCAGCTTTATCAGCTAGCTCTTTCAAGAACGAAGCCCATTGGTTGCCAAGCCCGATATCAAAGTCAATGATGTGGACATGAGTGCAGCCCTCTAAGGCTTCAAGCACCGCTTGGTTAGCCGTACAGCTTGAGAACATGGGAATTGGGGAGATGACAGAGAACATTTTCTGTGCTTTGATGGCCTGGATGATCTCTGAAGAGCTGGCAGGGCGAGTCCGTCGAGTCAACCCGGAGAGTAGGGATTGGAGGGCTTCTTTGAAGTAGAAGGCAGCTCTCTGGAGGGGTTTTCCGGTGGGAGACCTCAGCTGCTGATTGAGACGTGCCAATGATAACTGCCCAACTTGTGGCGAGTTGGTCTCAAAGCACTCAGCAAGTCGGATTAACTCATCTACGTATTCGAATCCCACGTTCAAGTTATTGTTATTCAAATTTTGGATTTCTCCAGATAGCTCAAATGGGTGGATGATATTATTGCTATGACTCAAAGGTGCAGTAGTGATGATATCAGAGGAAAGACTAAAATCAGATGGCTCAACCTGAGTTGATGAATCAAAGGAGCTTACAGATATGAACTCGGGGATCGATGCATACTGCTGATCAGAGAGAGTGCCGAGTTGAGAAGCATGTTTTGAAACAGGGATCAAATCGTCATCCAAACCCAAATCCCAATCCTCAAACTGGTGGCTCAGCGGAAGATCTCCCAGTTGAAGAGGATCGTCAGGAATTGTTGAAATACCAGATGTGGTACAATTCGATATGGCGTTTTTGGCAACAGGAATTGGGCTTCCGTAGAGTTCAAGAACCGATTTTGGCTCGTAGGGAGAGATCGTGGGGGCGGTGTTGCCCAGAGAAGTGGTGGTCCAGGTGGTCGTAACCACTGGTTTCGAGTTCAATGATTGGTTATTGTGATTATTTCCAGAAAAGGATACTTTCATTTCTCGAAAAGGAGAAAAAGAAGGCGAACAAAACCCTAATGATAATCTAGGTAGCTAAGAGTATTCCTCTCTTACAATACAAAGTTTTTGTTGATCTTTCAATGGCTTTATGTGTTTCCTATGGTAGAAGTTGAAAATGCCAGGGGGCTTTTTGGTGGTGATGATTCTTGCTTTTTTATCTTAGCGTGCATGGGTTGTATAACGAAGCTTCAGACCAGGTCAGTTTTCTTTCTCTTTCTCTCTCTTCATTTTTCTCTCTCTACTGTTTTACCCTTTTTACTATATATATTCGTATGCGCATAGAGCCACAGAGACGGAACCCTCCTCGGAGACAAATGGATTATTACTTTATCCTAATTTTTAAGAATTGAAGTGGATCTTCCAATGTTATACGTCTGATTTAAATTAGGGAGAACAGTTTTTTTATATTTTGTTAATTCAAATGTTTCATTATGTAAAAGAATGTAGAAAAGCATATAATTAGCAGGTAAGTTACCGATAAACACCATGTGCAGCGTGTTAATAGACCATAGATGGAAGAAAGTGGGAAAACAATCAATGCAATTTGTGAGATCTTTTTCCTCTTTCGTATGAAGAAAATTGGATTTAACGATAGTTTTTTCAGATGGAATTTGGGTTCAGGTAAGGGCATTCTGCCACCTAAATTACTTGAACTTGGCTGAGATTATTTTAGTTGTAATAAATTAAAGTTACTTTTGGAAAAATAGTTGGTAAAAAAAGCTGTCATCAAAATTGTGATAATTCTCAATAGATGTATTCCATGACCTTTAATTTCTTCGTTAGTTGGCTATTATATCATCGTATCATTTTCACTGGAATAATTCAAGAGGAACTCGGCATCCATCTCAATTTTGTAGGAAATGAATTTACTCAATCTATTGATGAACTTATTTTATTATCGATAAATTAATAACCCTTCTAAAATAATAATTTTTCTTGGTCCCACCATTATTATTTTACCGAGATTTTGATGTATACATATTTCATACATAAAAGTCTGAGACTAAGGTAGAATGGAAAATTGTCAATTTTAGTTAGTAATATTTTTATAGTTTAGGATGAATGGCAAGTTCGCTATATTGATCCAGACTAATTATTTAGGAGAAGATTGCTTCTCTCTCAATCTATATTCTACATATTGCACGGTAAACTTCACTTTTGATTTACATTCATTTTATATTGCCAGTTGCATTTTCACCTATATTTTTTTAATTTTCTGGGATTGAGAAAGTATTGATATATGCTATCTAGTTAGTCTGTCCTATCCTAGTCAACAACCAAGTTATTTTAGTTTTCTTAAATGAAATGTGTCGTTCAGTACACTCTTTTACCCTACTTTTCCTGCTGGCCCCTTCCCCAATTTCCCCTCATAGAAGAAAGTTGGGGCTGTGGGGGACTTTGATTTGTTTGAGTTACAACTGTAGCATTTGGCATTTCAAATCTTTAACTGCACCGTGCGTTCCTGCCTATCATTGACAATCATAAATTATTGCTCATGACATCAAGAATCAAGGCTTCTTCCTTTGTGGCTCTTCCACGTCTTACATTGACTACGAAAACACTTGCTAGCACTCATAAGGGATAGAGAGGATATAAGTATGTTACCCTACCTTGTTTACCAGAGGCATGAAGCATTTTGGAATGGAAATAGTAATTACTCAGATGGGTAGAAAACTAAGGAGTTATTATGAGATCTTCAGAAAAATAAAAAGAGAAGAGTAGTGGAAAGAATGAATTCAAAAAGTCTATGCGAGACTGAACCTAGATTGCCAATAGGTGTGAGAGTTCATTGATAATAAATGAAGCAAGTTACAAACAAACTGAGAAAGGATATTACAGGCAGGAGTGGAGAGAAATAGTTCCTCTATTGAATTGCTGCACAACTGTTGATTTCAATATTAAATGAGTTTTGCAGTAACTGTTGGTCACGTGGATGGAGATCTTATCCAGGCTTTATGCCATTAGATACTCGTTAATGCTGCTGGACTGATATGTCGTAATACAATTGTGAGAGACATCTTGGATCAGTTGAGCAGTTGCCAAGGCACTAATATAGATAATTTGTGAGAGACATCTTGGATCAGTTGGGCATTTGCCAAGGCACAAATATAGATAATAAAGAAGTGACCTTTTTTATTCATTTTACAGTAGATCTTGTACTCATTGAAAATACAATGAATTTCTCTGGTTTGATGTCAATCAGGTGCCTATCTTTTAATTGAGAATAGAAGATCTTATACTGAACAATTAAAGTGAGGGTAGACAATTGAGTCTACAATCTTCTGCTCTAATGGGCACTGGACATGAGGGTACCCCTGCAAAGTCTTCCACCCCTGCTACTACTACTCAGGTTCTCTCTTTTATTATTTTGTACATCTTAGCATTTCAAGGGCAATCATAATTATATGGTCCTTTTATCATATTTATGTCTCAGCTATACTGCAAACTAAATGCAGCTCATCCTATTTCCCCCTTTTTTTAATTGAATTTCAGGAAGCACCAACTACACCTGCATATCCTGATTGGTCAAGCACTATGCAGGTTTCTGATGAAAGCTTTGGTCTTCATTTTTCTTTGATAATTATGTTTATATTATAATTTTTGTGTTGGCTTACTTGACACCCTTTCCTATTCCAGGCTTTCTATGGTGCTGGAGCTACTCCACCTTTCTTTGCTTCAACAATTACCTCCCCTACACCCCATCCCTACATGTGGGGAGGCCAGGTCATTATTCTATAATTTTGATTTCCAGACCTACCCCTTTAGGACCTTTAGAGCATATAGAACACCTTACCATAATATTGCTCAATTGCATTTCAGCATCCTCTGATGCCACCTTATGGGACTCCAGTTCCATATCCAGCTATATATGCTCCTGGGGGAGTCTATGCTCATCCCAATATGGCCACGGTAATTGAGATGCACAAAGTTTTAGTAATTAGTTGTTGGTGTCATTTTGTAAACTAAAGTTGAATACTGTAGTTTTTATGCTATTCTGTCAACTATTTGAGCACGATATCCTTACGGTCTTTTAATCAAGCACCGTTTCAGTAGATGTGGAAGCTCCAATTATATCGGTCTTTTATGCTTTCTTTACAGACTCCAACCGCAATACTCGGAACTGCAGAAGCAGATGGAAAAACAACAGAGGCGAAGAACCGTGTTTCAAGCAAAAAATCCAAGGGTACTTCAGGAAACCATGGAAAGACTGGAGATGGTGGGAAATCTGCTTCAGGCTCTGGAAATGATGTTGCAACACAAAGGTGCTTTTGGACAGATTTACTGCTAGATATATTATCTTACTCATCACAAACTTTGTCTGTTACCCTTTGGGCACGTTTGGTGCACCATATAGGATTAAGGGGATAGGATTAGGAGGGAGAGGATTAAGGTGGATCAGAGTGGATTATTCTAATACCGATGTTTGATTTTACATCGTATTAGAAAAACTTACCAGTATTATAACTAAAAACACAAAAATTATTAAAAAAATTTACTTAAAAATAAATTTTCTTACTTATACGTAAATTTTCTTATGAGTATTTTGTTACTTATAAGTGAATTATTACTTATAATTATTATAATTTTAAGTAAACTTCTTACAAGTTTATTATTCCTTATAAGTGATTTTTACTTAAAAGTTATATAGTAACTTACAAATAATTTTTTTTACTTATGAGTAATTCTTTGTACCTGCAGACGATTTGACCAACCCTGCTCCTGCTACGACATTTGCACATTTAGATGCTAGGAAACTCAATGGAATTCATAACTTTTTCAATCTTTATTTTTCCCTTTTCTTTTTATTGTCTGAATATTCAGGAGCTAAGACCACTTAAAAGTGAAATGTTTAGTTCTTATTTTCTTTTCTTCCTTAATCATAAAACGGTGAAACAGTCTTCAGGAACCTAACTATCTTTCCTAAAAGCCGAGGCTTGGGGGTGATTGAATCCCACAACTATTAGACTCTAATAATACCCCACGGCCCCAAATTCAACATTCATGGCGGCCTACTCCAAGTCGACTTGAGCTTTTGAGAGAGATGGTTGGGTCTCATCAATTAGTATCAGAGCAGATTCACGTCACAGGTTCAAATTCTGGAAGGGGCGACCCAAGCCAAGTGTTGAATACTAGCAGCTATAGAAGGGTCTGCCGGGCAAAGGGAAGGTCCTCTTGGAGTGGGCCGCCGTGGACTTTGGATTTGGGGCCGTGGGGTATTGTTAGGGTCTAATAGTTGTGGAATTCAATCACCCTCAAGCCTGAACTTTTCGGAGAGATGGTTGGGTTCCCATCAATAAGTTATACAGTCATAGGTATAAACCCTCCTCAAATAGCGTATTACTTTGGTTGACTTCTAGTTATTAATTGTACCAAACACTGGATAAGGATTAGATAGGATTAAATGAATCCTTATCCGGTCTAATACAATGCGCCAAATGTGCCATTAATATGTATTAAATGTATACTGTTAGATTTAGTGGCAATTTAGTGCTTGTTTGTGCCCCATTATTTGTGAATAATGTTTTGTGAAATAGTGATTGATGTTGAAATGTGTGGTTAAAAAAGAGAAAAAAGTTTTTGATTTACATATAATATTATTTTAATGAAGAATGTGTGGTTGAAAATGAGTACTGTAAAAAAAATAATGTGATAGAAACAAAGCCTTAGTATCTTATTCATTGTAGATTTACTCTTTTCCTTAGTATCTTATTCATTGTAGATTTACTCTTTTCCATATTCTTGTGATTTGTTGATTATCATAATGTATGATTGTAAAGATTTGCTCATGAACAGCGCTGATAGTGGAAGTGAAGGTTCATCAGATGCAAGTGATGAGAATGATAACCAGGTATGTATCTCTGCTTTAGTTGATGAAATCTTATTTCACTCCAGTGTTCCAAGAGTCTGACAAATCCCTGAAACTTGATTCTGGGACCTATGGTAGCAAATAGCTGACTCTTACATTGACGTGGCTCAGTCAAGAAAGAGCAAATATGATATGCCACATTTCATACTAAAAGCCAATCTGATTTGATATTTTAGGAATATTCTGCAACCAAGAAAGGAAGTTTTGACCTGATGCTTGCTGATGGTAAAAATTTTTGCTTGTCCACCTTGTCCTGGTTCCTTGTGTTGTTCTCAGTCTGACCAGTCTGTTAATTCATCAGGAGCACATTCACAGAACTCTGGTCCAGCTAACTTCCAGAATTCAGTACCAGGGAATCCTGTAGTTTCTATGCCTGCAACTAATCTGAATATTGGCATGGACTTATGGAATGCATCGTCTGGTGGTTCTGGGGCTATGAATTTGCGACGCAGTCAGCCTGGTGTTTCGCCAACTGTTGCTCCATCTCAATCTGGCATGATGAATGATCATTGGATTCCAGTATGTTAACTCACCTTTTAATGTTTCCATATCATAAAGGATTACTTTTTGTTTAATTTTTTTTGTGGTGTGCCTGTTGAACGAACTGTATTTTGATTCAGTGGAGAAATTTGATAACCTTATTTGATTCTACTTGGTTATTAATTCTGAAGCTGTAACCCACTGTTTCCATTACCAACAGATTGTACGAGTTAATAAATTTGTTCCTTAAAATAACTGCCTGAGTTTTTCTAGGCGGTGTGTTGGAATTTGGCTTCTCTCTTCGAAGTAATGATTTTGTTCCACTAGATATCCATGTCAGTTGTCAATTTTCTTCAAAAGTTATGATAAATAACAATCATGGAGTTCTCTAATTTCCACTTTTAGGCATTTCGAGGACCAAAAGTTGGACTACCATTTATTACTCCCACCCAAAAAATACGGAAGAAAAAGGGGGGAAAATAACGAGGATTACCAAGAAACAAATGTGTTTGGCAAAATATGCATACCAGATCTCAAGTAGATTTTGAACTTCAATTTACAGGATGAACGAGAACTGAAAAGACAAAAGAGAAAGCAATCTAATCGGGAGTCTGCTCGGAGATCAAGATTACGGAAGCAGGTTTGCCTTGCTTTCCAGTTTTCAATTTTACTTTGATGTTTCCTCAATAAAATCTTCTGTTATGGTGTGTTAATATATGCATGTGCTCCCTCCTTCCCCCAAGTATTGTTACTTGTGAGTTGAGTTTAGAACAGAAGGAACGGTTTGGAATAGTAAAGTATAATTAGCTAATCATCTGTTATCTCAATTAAGAATCTTTTTTCTATTGTTAATTGTACTTAGACAATGAATAAAAAATAAACTTGAAGCAAAAATTCTTGTTTTCATTCATAATATTTGGCTGACCCCCAAGTTCAGG